CAGAATCCAAAATGGATTTGTTTGATTTGTAAGCAAACCGGAGAGGGTGTTCGGGGGTATTGAAAGAAGCAGACAAGTGTTTGAGAATGGCACGTTCTGCCAATTTAAGATCGCATGACGTTAGAGTTACGGGACCGAAACGTTTGGACAGGGTGCTGGATATACATGGGTTTGGAATGATCATGACGGGTCTCCAGCAAGCAGGAATAGGATACGTGCTAAATGTTGTGTTGATGAGAAAAGTGATAGCATCCCTTAGAGCAAAGGCACCATGCTTTAGAAGAGATGAAGATAGACCGTCGGAACCAATACCAATGTATCATTTCATTGTACGAAGGAATTTAAATATTGCTCGGAACATTCGCTTGAGCTCTGAAATATTTCGCCAAACATGACAGCGCCTTTACAGAAGATATATTGGATAGATGTTTCCTGTCACAAAACACCTCATCTGTTGTGATTGCATTTCTTTAAACAATTTCATCTCAATAGTCCTCGGGAATATTCATGAACTTTTTCTCTTATGTACGAAAAAAAATCGAAAACTATGCTTTTCACCTAAGGCTTGCAAACGTGCACTGGTAAGAACCGCAGACTCATCGGGAGAGAAACATTTGTTCTTCAGATAGATTAGAACACGAAAGAAATTGTGAAAGGAAACAATACTAAACAATGATTACCCGGAAGCGTTCACAGACATTCACAGTAGAGAATTCGAATAANAAGGTAACCCCCCCCCCGCCCAGAACGTGAACACGGGGCCCAATACGTAAAATTGGTTCTCACAGGTGATCACATGTTAAATAATATGCGACAAAAGTGGAAATCCGATCTAGATCGCACAATCCTAGCTGCTCAACTCAGACGCATTGCCTTACTGACTGAATCGATCTGAACGAATGGTTAGCAAACCGGTTGTGTACCAGTTCATCGACAGCGCGGTGACGCATACAAGGACAAACAACAGATGGCCGAACATATGCTAAAGTGAGTGGCAAAGTGGGTGACGCAATGGTCAGGTGATCTCAAGAACCCCGGGGTCATGTTACAAAACACATCATGACACAAAGACAGTTGCCCATCTCTCTTGTCTTTCAAACAACTATAATTGGTGAAGTGTTGCTTACTTTAATGCGCCCCAAAGTTATTGACGCAATCACTCCACTTGCCGTGGACAGAGTTGACCTTTCACTTCTATATTTAATCATCTTTCCAATGGTTGCGTTCGTACAATGCAAGTGACCAACTCAATATGCTATTCATATTCCAACTTCTTTTACGTCAGCGACTGAGGAATCTAAACGAAATGTGAACATCTCGTAGCATTTGTTTTTTTTTCTTTTTCTCTCTCTCTCTATGTTGATCAAGCAGTGTAGCTTTTTCAAATTATCTAGACCCGTTTGGACTGGCCCGTCGGGAAGATTGAACTTTTCGTCCAAAACACGACTGCTTTTCGTACAGAAGAACGCACAGCGGACTTGTGATCAGGATATGCACTGAGCTTTGCAAAAAGATTATGCGCATTATTGGGTTCCATCGGTCCCGAGGTGACCTCTCTCATTCTTTGATGATCAACAGCTCATTTGTTTACTGGCTAAATTAGGCCGGGGAAGGTACAGATATGCTTGTAGAAACTGGAAATGAAAAAAATTGGGAGGAACCCCTACCTTTCGAAACAGATACGTCATCTCCATTGCTATAAGTAAATCAATAGAACGACGACATTTGATCGATTTCGCCGTGAACGGTTAGCGCGCTTGTTGGACATTCGAATAAAGATACCTCACGTCTGTGCTGTTAATGTCCAGAACAGATTACATTCAACCACTGATAGCTCACAGCAAGAATGGTGTTGAGCATTGTGATAAGAATCACCTTGGATTATATACATCATGATCGAATCTTTTC